CATTAAAATGTTTATAATGAATTGTTCACTTAATTTGAAAGAAATTACTGATATTATATGTGTACATATATATTTCTATCTTCATTACAGAAATATGCAAAAACACATTGTTTTGATGACACACAGCAAAGTTTTAACACAGTTTTTTTCTGAAGAAAAATGATGTTCAGAAAATTTTCTTTTTGCTCTGTGTGGATCTCACTGCTTACATTTTCTTCAATGAGTATGTGGTATCTTTAAATTAACACAAAACTATTTCAATAAGAAAGTAAGACATGCTACATATGACTCACAACATTTACTGGCACTATCACCCCTCAAAATTTTTCTGTTATTATAAAGCTTTGACTGTGAAAGTTGAAGAAACAAACTGAGGTGACTGGCCAGATTCATTAAGATATGTCTGTCTCTGTAACTAAGATGCTGCTGGGATGACAGAGTCATCTTGGTGCATGTCATGAAACATCAAATTGTACACAATGAATATGTATAATTTCTATCTGCAATATGAATTTCTATCTGCAATGAATATGTGTAATTTCTATACCTCAGTAAAATGGAAATAAGGGAATGTTACTAATATGTAGTTATATCTACCTCAAAAAGGTTACAGGAAAAGAAACATTTTAAGTATAATCTTAGAAGCATGAGTCAAATTTCTTCCATTTGAAGTGAAATTGTACTAAACATAAAATTCGGAGATCTCCCTACTTGAGCAATTCAGTTTGACCTTGTGAGACAAAACTCACTTGTTGTGATATTTATTTGCTGTTGAAGAGAAAAAGATGATGAACATTTTCATGTCAATTAAAATAAAAACATTCATTCATAACTTTGGATTATAAAAGTGGAATATATATTCCTGATGGAATAATAATAATATATTGTTTAATCTTGTTACAATTTTATGTTTTATAATGTATAAAATAAGCATATATTTTGAGTTAAAATCACCTCAAGGTGATTTATCCAAAGTTAACCATTTTTAATCCATAAACTTAATGTTCATTCCTGCATTTAAAAAACAAGAGATTAGAGTCTAGTTATTTAAATCCTCTGAAAAGTCAGTGGCCATTAGAAAAACATTTTTTTGATATTTGGAGATAACAGTAATAAACGCATAATCCTAATGTGTGTCCAAGTTCAGATGAAACTTATAGCTGTCTTCTCCTTGCATGCTGCCCCAGGGTTTCTCTTTTTTGGAGGGGGCCGGGCTGGGGGTGCTGTCAAGGCAAGCTGGCCCCACCAGTCTCAGGAAAAACGCACTCACACGCCTCACTCTGTTCCCTCCAGGGCAGATATCAGTGGATGGGTTCATGCGCTACCTGAACGGAGAAGAAAATGGCGTCGTTTCACCTGAGAAACTGGATTTGAATGAAGACATGTCTCAGCCGCTGTCTCACTATTTCATCAATTCCTCACACAACACCTACCTCACAGGTACAAGTATGGAGTTGTCTGTTATTTGGCCAGTCTACAGCTTGTCTTGTTTTCAAGTCTTCTAAACAGTACCTGTATCCAATATCTCCATACCAATGGAATGTTTTTTTGTAGCATTGATTTTTGAGTCATTGTACAGCCATTTCCACTGAGGCTGTGGCGCTAAGTGGATGCTTAGCCAGTGTGGGAAGCCTTGGTCCCTATCCAGCACCACAAAAAAGGAAAAAGCCATTGACCACTCCACCTTCTTCTCTATGCTGTGTTCATCTGTTAGGGCTCCAAGACCTTCAGTGAATCCCTCAGTGACTGCAGCTGAAAGCAGGCGTCTTTTGTCAAAGGGGAAGCAGGCATTTAGGCAAAACAACAAACAAAAACTCTTGAAATCTGGTTGACAACCGAGATTTAGTAGAAAATGTAATAAAGTAAGAAAAACATACTTTGTGTCCTACTTTGATACATTGGCAAGATTTTTAGGAAATCATCAAGAAGAAAATGTACTCCCGTGTGTATGTGTGTGTGTGTGTGTGTGTGTGTGTGTGTGTGTGTATACATATATTATCTTGCCATAGTTTGGAATTAAAATTTCAATAAACAAAGGTTTAAAAGCTTATTAAATAAGCTGAGAATATTTTTATGATCAAAACATATTCCTTCCTAAATATTTTCTTTATTACAAATCTCTAATCACAAGCTTTAAAAACATCTTCAGAGAAAATCAACTGCTGTTTAAAATTATAAAAGAAAAGGTTTTAAGGGGCTGGAGAGATGGCTCAGCAGTTAAAGAGCACTGGCTGCTCTTGCAGAGGACCTGGGTTCAATTCCCAGCACCCACATGGTGGCTAACAACCATCATAACACCAGTTCCAGGGAACCTGATGCCCTCTTCTGACCTCCACCAGCACTGCACAACACAGGTGCACTTACACATATGCAGGCAATACACTTATACACATAAAATAAAAATAATAAGAAAAGCTTTTAAAATCCACATTACTTTCCTGCTTCATACATTCTCAACATCTACAAAATGGCAGAAGTCTAGGGTATTATATGGTGTCTGTAGGAGGTAGATGGACTGCATGACTTCTCAGCTGTTGGGATGTATTGGTGGCTCCTTGTCCAGGAGTATGTGGTTTGTGCTGCAGGCTGGACTCTCAGTATTCATATAAGCCTAGAAACTCAAGCATTGGGTAGATGTAGGGCATACAAGAAAATTTCAGTATCTAGCCAGGTGACAGATCAGCAGTCATTTCTTTTGAGAAATCCTCAGGTTCACTCTAGTCTCAAGTACATGGTCCATTTGTTGTAAACTCGGCTTCTGCTTGGTTACCATAGTAAATTAAACATGACCTTGAGACAACCAGAGGCCTATCTCAGGGTAATCCACAGTCTGAGGCCATCTATTCAAACTCATAGTGTCTGAGTTCTGAAGTATTTTGAACTGCATTTTAGATGCTTGTCAACATTTCAAGGCTTGACAGCCACTCATCTCCTGTTTTATTTCAACTAAATTTATGTACTAAACAAATTCATGCCACAAAAATAACTACATTTTTCTGGCTTATCCTATACCTTATTCTTCAGTCGTTGCTGCAGAGAAAATTAGTACCATGCTTAGTGGCATAAAATAAATACCATAGTCTGTGTCAGGAATTCAGACAGTGAAAGAAGGCATAGCACACCTCTGTTCCAGGGTGTCTTGGACCTCTCCTGGGGAGAAAGTGTGGGCATTAAGAGAAGACTCAAATAGATATTGTGTTGGACCTTCTGGAACCTTCTCCAACACATTTGCCAGTTCAACTGAAATGACCCAACAACTGGGTTTACTTAGGGCTATGAACCTATTGCCTACAAGAAGTTTCACCGTATAGCCTGGACTTCCTTTCAGCATGGCACCGCTAGGGGCAGTAGACTTTTTACATGAAAGTTCTAAGCCACAAAAAGATTAAAAAAAAACAAAAAAACAAGTTCCCCAGAATACAGGGAGGAGGCTTAACTGCATTTTTTGCCACTTGCTTTCTGAAGCTTTGTGGTATCATTTCTTTCTTTGCTTGCCTGAAGAGCCACATTTATACCCAGATCCAGAAGGGGACAAACACCAGGCTCCCTATGGAAAGCATGGAAGAATTTTCAGTCCTATTTCAGCCACTGCAGGTCTTTTACTTTTAAGAAAAGGATGTCCACCCCTTCCTTGGATTGAGCTCCTTGGGCTGATAAAAAAAAAATGGTAGCACTCATACACATTTATAAGCCTTTTGTAAAGGACTTTCTCCCATCTTAACGGGATATTAACATTTTGGTAACGTTGACCTATATGGAAGCTTGCTGAAGATTACAGATTCTTCTTAGAATGTGAACACTTAAAACAACGTTATCTAGGATTAAAAGGAAATAAATATCACAGAAATTTCAGTAAGTATTAAGATAATCTTGCCAATGCAACTGTGACTTTTGACCTACATTTATAACTAAAAGAATGTTCCAATTTGTGTCGATGTTAAAACTTTCCACCCAAATTCAAGGAAGTGTGTGGAATGTCAAGTAAAATGTTTGGACTTTTGACTTGAGAAGATGCAAAGAATTGAAACTTGAAAATCTACAACATATGATAGAGGCTTGAATTTGTCAAATACCCAGGACAAAAATCAGAAAATAATACAGGTCCAATTAAATTTTAAACATGTAGAATGTTTTCTGCCTATAAGTCATAATAATTTTACAAAAATCCTTTGATCTTCAAAATGCCTTCCAATGGGTATATTTCCATTCATTAATTTTCTTATTTGTCATATAGTAAATGAGTCAGCAGTAGCTAAACCACTTCTCCAGCACCCCTCTAGTAATCTTTTTTAAACATTTTCTATTAAATTTTTTTTACATTTCATACATAAAATCATGTTTACACCCCCTCCCCCTCCCCTTTGACACCCTCCCGTAGACCCCCACTAGAGTTCATACATTCTGTCATTTGTATTAAGGCCTATTATGTAAAATTAGTGTCCTGAAATGTCCCTCAGTGCAAGTTCATCCACTGGGGTTTCGTTGGCCTGTCTAGAGTCTCTCCCTTCAAGAAGATCAGCTCTTCCTCACCTGGCAGTAATCAGCTGCCAATAATTCTTCAACTAGGATTGGGGCTTGCTGTTCATTTCCACAGTTCTGTGCTGGGTTTTTGTCTTCCTAAGTTTGCACAGGTCTTCTGCATGCTGACACCATTGCTGTAAGTTCATAGGAGAAGGGTACCAGGTGCCTGTAGGACTATTTCCATATGGTCATGCACCTCCTCCCTGACTATTACAATCTTCCTGCCCCCTCTTCCATAATGGTCCCTGAGCCCTGGGTGGGTGGACCTCAATATAGGAGTCCTGTCCAAGGACCCACACCCTGAAAACTTATTCTCTGTGTTTTGGCCATTTGTGGCCTTTTATGTTCCTGGCCCTCTGTGGCATGAGGGAGCGTCACTGAGAACTGAAAGATGCATTAGTGTTCTCTTCATCCCTTGTTCTATGTTCGGTAAGCCTTAGGTGTAGAGGTTGCATTGTAGATGTGCCACTTAGGTTTGGGCAATTCACAGAGAATCTGTGTGTGACCAGTGGTGTAACTCTGTGATAATCTCTGTCTGTTGAAAAAGAAGTTACTTTGATGGGTAGTGACCGGGATACTTGTCTGTAAATTTAAGGATCTGTATTTTACACATAGTAAGAAATTACATTTGTCTAGGGACATAAGAGCCTTGTGGTTTTCTCTAAGATCTATGACCTCTCCAGATATGTGTATTTGCCTAGGTTTGCATTATCAAACATGAGTTTCCTCCCACTGAGTGGGCTTTAAGTCCAATTAGGTAGCTGTTGATCATCCCTAACAAATAAGTGCCACTACTGTACCAATGTTGTTTGCTGTGCTGGACATTGATGTGGTTTTTAGGCCTTGAAACTGGGGTTGAACCATTGATTGATGCTCTCCCTTACCAGCTTGCATAATGCTCTCCAAAGCTATGAGAGCTAGCTTCAGGGGAGATAGTTCCCAGGTCACTGCCAACTCCATTTCTCCAAATCCTGTGTCCAAAGTATGTCTTGTCTTCAACAATAGTCTTACCTTCAAGTTCTAGGAGGCAATCAAGGACTGTGGCAATAGCCTGTGTAAATTTTGGAATCTCTTGGGCTACCCTGGGCAACAACTCAAAGGAAGTTTTCTCCTGTATGGCACCGTTTCTTGTTATGTAATCTTCAGCTAAACTCAAAGACTCATGAAGGGATATTATATGTGTAACTTTTCGGTAGGTTTTTGGACTAATACGGTTCCCTCTGGTTTTTTTTATACTAGCCAGGCACTATTTATGTCTTCTCTTTCTCTCCCTGTCATCCTCACTCCCCACCCTTCCCATTTAAAGTGTCCCCATTTTCCCCATTTTTCCCTTGATAATTTTTCTATGCTATGGTCCCACGTCTTTCTTCCCCTTTATTCCCATAATTCTTTGTATCACCCTCCTTCTCCCCCTCCCCTTTAACTGCCTCATTTTTATACATTTCTCTCTTAGTAACACCTGTCCCCCACTGTTCTTCTCTCTCAGGTTCCTTCTTTACCTCCCTGGTTCTATTTTCCTGGTTCTGTTTTCCTGGTTCCTGCAGTTACGTCAGGATATTCACTCACTTATAAGGATCTACAAATGAGGGAGAACATACGTCTTTTATTTTTATGAGCCTGTGTTACATCACTTAGTATAACAGTTTCTAGATCCATCCATTTATCTGCAGATTTCATTATTTCATCTTTCTTTACTGCTGAGTAGAACTCCATTGTATAAATGTACCACATTTTCGTTAACTACTCATCAGTGGAGGGACACTTGGGTTGCTTCCATTGCTTAACTATTGTGAAAAGAGCAGCAACAAACATGATTGTACAAGGATCTCTGCAATAGGACGAGTCCTTTGGGTATATGTCTGAGAGTGGTATAACCAAGTCAGATGGTAGGTTCATTTGTAGTTTCTTAAGAGTTCTCC